CCCGACTAAGGCGGCACCAGTTGCCCATGAAAGTGGCCCCGCTGCCATTTTGAAAAGCAGGGCACTGAATACGAGACGCTGTAGCATGCTGGAGCGTTCTGATTAGAACACTCCAGCAGACTCAGCGGATTGAGTCGGCTCCAACTTGTTCTAATTGGAACGTGTCAAAGCGTGTGTAAAAGTGCCCTGGAATTCCAGTGTACAAAATGCATTTCTCTGTGAAGTTATCTAGCCTATAAAGTTTCTGGTGTGAGGATATTTATATGGCAGCATTGGAAACCTATATAGCCATCACTGTTTCAGCTATTTTAAATCTCTATTCTTGCAGCTACTTAAGAAGTTAGCAAAGTCAAGCAGAATCATGTGACTGAGCCTGTTTGTGAGCAGGGCCAAAGCAAGACCAAGTAAAGCCAACAGAACCAAATGAAAGGCCTAGTAATAAATACCAATTACATTTTTGACTCATAATAACTGGAAATATGTGAACTGGAAGAGATTCTGAAAGTAAAACAGGAAGAGATGTAAGGAAGCACACTACTGAAAATCAGGGATCTGGGTTTTCCATCTGCTGTGAAAAAAATGCAGATTTTCTCATTTGAAGGAGAAAAACATAGATTTTCCCCCTTTAAAAGAGAAAACCATGGGAAACTGTGGGTTTCCCCTTGCTGGCTGACAGCCTTTCACCCTGCAAGGAGCTGCTTGGGGTTGGGGGAAGTGGGGGGAGGATGATTGGAGGCAGGGAGCACCACATGTGTGTGGGCATGCATGTACGTGGCCAACAATACAGCAAGGCAGGGTGATGGGAGCAGCCCTGGCAGCTGGATGCAGGTAAGTCTATGGGGGATGGGGGTTGAAGATGCACACAGGTGCATGTCTGTGTGTGTGTGTGGAGGGATGGGTGTGTGAGAGGCCATGGGCGCCTGCCAGTGCTGAAAGAAGGTGTCCGGGAGCCAGGGCTGGGGCAGGGCAGGGGGATTTGAGGCAGCGCTCAATGCTGCTGATGAGCCTAGCTCTGCGCTGCTGCCAGCGGTGCCTGCCCCTCCAGCCGGGGAAGGGAGTCAAGGGGTGGCTTTCAGGGATGGCAGGGAGCTGTGTGGCTGGGCTGGTAGCTCAGGGGTGGTGCCTGTGTTCTAAGGGACTGGGCAGCTGGGAGACGCTGCCCAGGTGGGGGCCGTGGCTAGACCTCTTGGTGTGGTGTGGGAGCCCCATCCAAGGATGGGAGGTGCCACAGGTATCCCCTCCTCCTCCCTCCAGCCTGTGCCAGGGCCAGACTTCCTCTGCCATCACCCACATGAGTTGGAGCAACCGTAGCTGCCGCTGCCATGCTCTGACTTGGGCAGAATGGAGCCTGGAGCTCCTTGCCCTCCTCCTGCTTCCCGTAGTGTGACCAGGTCAGAGCCACACTTGGCTTCATGCAGAGCACGTGTGGTTCCCCAGCCGCTGCCTGTGGTTCCACATGAGGTGTGCTGGATGCATCTCATGCTGGAGACCATTCCCACCATGTTCCTACAGACCCCCATCCTGTGAGGCTGGGCAGGGCAGGGGCAGCTGGGGGTCCCCTCTGGCAGGGCTTGTGGGGGTAGGGGGCTGTGGGTCAGGAGTGAGGGGCACTAACAGGGCTGGGGGGGCTGTGACTTGAGAGTGAGGGGCACTGGCAGGGCAGGGTACTGTGGGTTGGGAGTGCCGGGCCCCGGCAGGGTCAGGGGGTTGCAGGTCAGGAGTGAGGGGCACCAGCATGACCGGGTGGAGGACTCTGAGTTGGGAGTGAGGGGCACCAGGAGGGCTGGGGGGCTATGGCTTGGGAGTGCAGGGCAACAGCATGGGCAGGGACTGGGCATCAGCATATCAGAGCTGCTGAGCACCACAGAGCAGTCGGGGGACAGCCGCAGCTGGATCCATGTCCCAGTGAATGAAAGGAGCAGGGGGAGCTCTGATTTTCCATTATAAAAAAACCCCAAATCAAACACCAAAATATACAGGTATTTAGAATTTATTTTATTATAATGATTGAGGCACTGGTAGGCTTCCAAATTGCTTTAAAATTGTAAATATATCAATAAAATGTGAAAATTATACCAATCTATATAGTGACGTTTCATTTTAATCATGGAAAAATATGGATTTTGGGTTTTCAAATCAGCGATTTCTTCCTTTCTTTCTTCCTTTCTTTCTTCCTTTATCAGAATTTGCAATTTTTAAGCAGGACCCTGAACCTTGTAATGATCTAGGCTTTCTTATATATGAGGCAAAATCCTGCTGGTGGCCTGCCTACCAGCTGTGATTTGCTTCCCTTCTGCCACTCACTATGTCCAAGTGACAAAAGTTCATTAAACCCAAATCCTGCCTCAGAACAGACCAGCATATATTGGTGGTTACCACTTGTGAATCCTGCTATTTAAAGGCTGTATGCTGAAGTGCCATCAAAAATAGCAGAATTACCGAAGAGGTTGGAATGTATTTGGTTGAAGATAAAAGTTGAAAGGTACAATAATGATCTAGTGGTGGGGATTTGCTTATACACTACCAAGTCAGTAAGAAGAAGTGGATGAGGCACTCTTCAAGGAGGTGAGAAAATTATCCAAAAGTTTGGAGAAGGTACTGATAGAAGACTTCATTTTTCCAGACATTTGCTGGAATAATAATACAGCCAAACAAAATGTGTTGAGGAAGTTCCTAATATATGTGGATGACAACTTTCTGTTGAATAAAATTGAGGATACAACAAGGGGATCATCTGTGTGTTGGCCACAAAAAGACCAAGAAAGCCTAGAGTTGCCAGCCCTCCCGGATTGGCCAGGAATCTACCAGAATCGGCATTGATCTTCTAGTGACTATTGAAAGCAATCCAGGAGACTGATATTGTGAATGGGTTAAACAGTACAATTAACGACTAGAGGTGCACCGCTACATCGTCCCATATTGGATCAGCACTGATATAAGGAAAATGGACAGTTTCAGCAATCGGCTCTTTGTGGCTGATAATGTCGCCGATAAATGCCCCATGCATGCATGCAGCCACAGTGCAGTGCACAGGCAGCCAGGAGTGCAGCCTGGAAGCATAGAGAGCAGCCGGGTCTGGCTGGTAAATCTGTTGGAAGGGGCGCGGGGCAGATTGAGGCCCCAGCGGTGAGGGAGGGAGTGGGTCTGGGGTAGGTGCAGGGACAGGTGCTGCATAGCCGGGACGGGGCACAGGACAGAACCATGAGCAGCTCGTCCAGGGGCAGGCTGGGGGTGGTGTTGGGCTCTACAGTGGGGGGAGGGGCAGATGGTGGCAGTCCTGGGAGCGGGGATACAGCTAGATTTAAGAAAGGCTAACTTCAGTGTGCTCAGGAGATTAGTTAGTGAGGCGTTACAGCTCAAGAGCATTGGCAAAATGGGGGTACAGGAAAGGTGGTCGTTCCTCAAGGGAGCAATCCTATGGGCGCAGAAGGAGACAATCCCATTGCTCATAAAAGGGGACAAAGGGGCCAAGAAGCCCTCTTGGCTGAACAGGGAAGTCTAGGAAAGCCTAAGGGCAAAGAAAGAGGTATACATCTTTCATCCAAGGGTGCTGAAGGAATTGGCCAGTGTCATAGCAGAGCCACTGGCACGGCTGTTCGAGCACTCATGGTGCTCCAGTTAGGTCCCGGAGGACTGGAAAAGGGCCAGTGTGGTCCCTGTTTTCAAGAAGGGAGGAGGGAGGAACCGGGAAACTATAGGCCAGTTAGTTTCACCTCCATCCTTGGGGAAACTGTGGAAAAAAAATCATTAAGGATCACATTTGTGGGAGCCCAGCAGGGGAAATAATGCTGAAAGGAAATCAGCACAGGTTCATTGCAGGTAGATCCTGCTTGACTAACCTTGTTTCTTTTTATGACCAGGTCACAAAATGCTTAGATGCAGGAGTCGAAGTAGATGTATTCTACGTAGCCTTTAAGAAGGCCTCTGAAGCAGCATCTCATTCTGTTCTTGTAAATAAACTGACAGGCTGTGATGTAGATGATTACACGGTCAGGTGGGTGGCGAATTGGCTTAGGGGTCGCACCCAGAGAGTGGTGGTGGACGGGTTGATATCGACCTGGAAAGATGCGGGCAGTGGAGTCCCGCAAGGCTCGGTTCTTGAACCGGTGCTATTCAGTGTCTCGGACGAGCACACACCCTGTCCAAGTTTGCAGGTGATACCAAATTATGGGGCAGAGTTAACACACTAGAGGGTAGGAAACGGATCCTGGCGGATCTGAACAGGTTGGAAAAATGGACAGAATGAAATAGGATGCAGTTCAACAAAGACAAGTACAAAGTGCTGCACCTGGGCAAAAAGAACCACCAACCCACTTACAAGCTGGGGGATTATCTTCTCAGCAGCCCAGCAGCAGAAAGGGATCTTGGAGTCATAGTTGACTCCAAGATGAACATGAGTCGTCAATGTGACGAAGTGATCAATAAGGCTAACCGCACTTTATCATGCATTAGCAGATGCATGATGAACAGGTCTAGGGAGGTGATGCTCCCTGTCTATATGGCACTGGTCAGGTCGCAGTTGGAGTGCTGCGTCCAGTTTTGGGTACCGCACTTCAAGAGGGATGCGGAGAATCTCAAGAGGGTTCAGAGAAGGCCACTCGTATGGTCAGAGGCCTGCAGACAAGGCCCTACGAGGAGAGACTGAGGGACCTAGATCTCTTCAGCCTTTGCAAGAGAAGGCTGAGTGGTGATCTTGTGGCTGCCTATAAATTCATCAGGGGAGGGCAGCAGGGAATAGGAGATGCTCTATTTATTAGGGCACCCCCTGGAGTAACTAGGAATAATGGCCACAAATTGGTGGAGAGCAGATTTAGGTTGGACATTAGAAAGAACTTCTTCACAGTAAGGGTTGTCAGAATCTGGAATGGGCTTCCAAGGGAGGTGGTGCTCTCCCCTACCCTGGGGGTCTTCAAGAGGAGACTGGACAAGCACCTAGCTGGGGTCGTCTGACCCCAGCGCTCTTTCCTGCCCGGGGCAGGGGGTCGGACTCAATGACCTACTGAGGTCTTTCCAACCCTAACATCTATGAATCTATGAATTTTGGGGTGGCTGCAGCACACTCCCAGCTCCCCCATAGTCCCCCTCCCAGAGCTGCTGCTGCTGCCTGTCCTGAGCACAGCACAGCCAAGCCCCCTGCTGGGAAGAGCTCAGTGCCGCCCTGGCCCCAGCAAGCAGCAGCCCACCCTCGCCCTCACCCTGTGTGCAGATCTGGGGGCACAAGCCCCCCATGCCCTCTAGGGGCGTGCATAGTGGTGGGAGCCGACCCCCCCCAACCCGTCTCCCCTGGGCAAGCTGCTTGTGGCCCCGTCCCACACTCTGCCCTTGCTGTGCAGCCCCTGCCTCAGCCCCACTCCCTCCCTCACCATGGGGGCCTCCATCTGCCCCCCCCTTGCCCCTTCCCCCACAACAGACTTAACAGCTGGATGCTGCTCTCCACTTTGTCCAGCTGCATATCGGCAATCGGATCGTTATTGGCCAATATGGCTCATTAAAAATAAGCCATTGGTATCGGCCCCAAAAAATCTCTATCAGTGCACCCCCATTAATGACATTACGTTGTGTTGGGGGGAAAAAAAATCTCCATCCGGGAGCCATGCACCATTGGGCTGGGCTGGGCTGACTCTGTGCCACCTATGTGGTGTAGGGCTCCTGGCACTTCTGCTGGGAGCCATGTGCTATCCGGCTGCACCGGGCTGGCTCTCCTGCCACGTGCAGCTCCCAGGACTCAGCCAGAGCCACATGCTGTCCGGTAGCTCAGCCTGCCGTGGGGCATGAGCACCCTGAGGGCCCAGCCCCTGCTGCTGCTGCCATTAAGGGCAAGCACTGTGTGCCATGGGGGGGCATGTGGCGGGGGGCCCACACGCACACCCCACCATACCCTCACACAACCCCTCACACACCCCCAAATCCCACACACCCCCTACACCCCCCTACACTGTACGAAAGTAAGACTTTATTTTGAGCTGTTTTGCAGTCATCTCTATGTACACTACACAAACAAAACATAAATCAGGACTAGAATATTTTTTTAAGTAAAAATAAAATATGTTCCAGTAGATGTTTGATTTTTCGTATACGATTTTCAAGTTTCAAGATGGCAAACCCCCCACCCAAAAGGAGTACTTCCAGGGTGAAGCAGGATGGGGGGGACTTCAGTGCCAAAGGTCAGGGGTTAGGGGCAGCAATTCTGGTTCCAAGATGGTGACCAGTGGGCGGGGCACCTGTCAAGGGGCGGGGCTTCCCGTGCAGCCCTTGACAGCTCACCAAAAGTCATTAAGCGGCCCTCCGGCCAAAATAATGGCCCGCCCATGTTACAGGACAACTGGCTTGACAGCCACAAGCGAAGGTGGTCGCAGGGACCCGCCAGCTTGACCTGCAGCCATTGTCATAGGTGGAGCACAGCAGGCCCCCCACCTCTGATTGGCTGAGGGGCACTGGTGGCCCTGCCTCTTGTCACTGATTGGGTGTGAGGGCTGTCTGTTGCATGGCCCCACCCCTTGCTGCTGATTGACTATGAAGGCTGTCTGTCCTTTGACTGTCCCTCACCACTGATTGGTGGAGAGGGGCAGGGCCATATGAC